TAATCAAACTCATGAGAAGCACACAATTAAGAATCAATAATTACCGAACGATGATTAAGAAGAATGCTAAATTAGATTTTCTGTTGATTGTGATACAGATTTTGTTGATATCATACTCATGCAAATCCATCTACAATAATTTTGCTTTTTTAGGTTATGCAAGAAGCTCCAATCTTAAATGTCAAATGCTAGAATATGTAGGCATTCATCTCAAAGAATTTTAACAATGTTAGCATCAGCAGGACACTGGCATGCACTAGCTCAGTTTGCTGGAAAGTTAGTGCATGATGTAGAATGGGAACAAAATTTCCCAATATGGCTGATAGACAGCACAGAAGGAAATGAGGGCAGTGGCCCCTTTTTGTAATTAACTCTTGTACTATCAAGTGTTAATACCTATATATAAAACTGTTAATGTTTGTTGGAAAAGAGGACACTGGCATGCCTCTTGCATTGACTTAACCAAGCTCATTTACAGGAAATGTTGAGTCAAGAAACTGCGGTAATTGCAGAGACAGGAGATTCATGGTTCAATTGTCAAAAGCTTCGGCTGCCTGAGAATTGTGGGTAAGTTTGACTCTGTTGCAAAGTTGGATTCAGCATCTACTCTACAGTACTGTGTTTCAAGACATTTTCACAACTTAGAGGAGTTTTTGGTTAGATTTAGGTTTACTGTCTTTAAAACAGTTTTTTTATGTGATTATGTCTGTTCAGGTATGAATTCCAGATGCAATATGGATCCATTGGGTGGTCGGTGGGTGCAACTCTAGGTTATGCTCAGGCTGCTAGAAACAAACGTGTTATTGCTTGCATTGGAGATGGGAGCTTCCAGGTCAGAGAAAGATTGATTTTAGTTCAAATGACATAACAAACTGAATTTATGAACTTAAGGCATGGCACTATACAATTAGTCTTCATAGTCAGCTTCTTGGGCACTTGAGGCCTTAGGTTTAGTGCAATGACATTTCCATCTGAAAGTGTGCTCATCTTGTCAAATTCCAAATATACAAAAAGCTTTAGACCAATGCGAAAAACAGAATGCTGAGTCAATTTTTTTTTTAATTCATTTCACAGGTGACAGCTCAGGATGTTTCAACCATGTTGCGATGTGGGCAAAATAGCATAATATTTTTAATCAACAATGGAGGGTATACAATTGAAGTAGAGATTCATGATGGCCCCTACAATGTCATAAAAAACTGGGACTACACGGGTCTTGTGAATGCTATCCACAATGGTGAAGGCAAATGCTGGACTGCCAAGGTTAGCTTTAACAGACAAATACCTACTGCCTTACTTTTTGAGTTAAAATTATGATCAACATTAACTGAACATTCAACATTAGTATAATTTCTAGTTAATGGTGAGCAACAGCTTGATGAAATTAATGTGATTCTTAGAATGATTTTACATCTACTCTCTAAACTAGTGGAAGTGGTATTCCATATCCTTGTACTCACGGATGGTCTCTTTGGTAACAGGTGAGAACTGAGGATGAGCTGACAGAAGCAATTGCAACGGCAACAGGCACACATAAGGACTCCTTATGCTTTATTGAGGTTCTGGTTCACAAAGATGACACCAGCAAAGAATTGCTTGAATGGGGATCCCGTGTTTCTAATGCAAATAGCCGCCCTCCTAATCCTCAATAGCGGCATGAAACTTGTAGTAATGGCAAAAGACTTAACAATGGCATCCGAATTGCCATTACCTTTGGTCCATGGAGATGCTGGAGAAGTAGAAATAAGAACTTTAGCAATTCCAATTGCTATGTTGTGCTTAACAAGAATGTTTAAGCGCCTGTATATGCAATATTGTAATTTTATTGTACATTAGCGGCGGAGTTTTTGATGTTTCTGAAATTGTATTTCGAACTGAAGCAAAATGAGTATTTGCGTTTAGTACATCAAATTGTGGTGCATTGATAACATGTTGATTCAAGTGAATAACAGTTTGGGTTCTGAGAGAATCCTTTTAGGCCTCAGTCTTGTTGATCACTTCGTTGTCTACTTCTACTATTTTGTTCCAAAACCAGTGTTTCCTCCAAACTCTTTCCATCTGCTCGATCGGCACATTCTTGGTTTCTGGCAATAAGAGGTAAACAAATGCGGTCATGAGCGCAACCCAGCCTCCAAAGAAGAAGAAAAGCCCATACTTGAAATGGCAAAGCATTGATAGAAAAGTTTGTCCAACAATGAAAGTGAACAAAAAGTTGACTGCAACATTGATACTTTGTCCAGCTGATCGTATCTCAAGAGGAAAAATTTCACTGGGAATTAACCATCCTAACGGACCCCATGACAATCCAAATCCAGCAACATATAAGCAGATCAACACCAAAACTAGAAAGGCATGCCCTTTGCTCAATCCACCATGATCCCCCAGCTTTGCCGCCATAACTCCCCCCACTAAAATTTGCATGACAAACATACAAATGCCACCGTTTATCAGCAGAAACCTTCGGCCAACTTTGTCAACGACCAACATTGATATGAAGGTGGTGCAAATACCTACAGATCCAGTCACTGCAGCGGACAAGAGTGATGCACTTTCTTTCAAGCCAATTGTGCGAAAAAGTATTGGAGCGTAGAAAGCGATCACATTAATCCCCGTCACTTGCTGGAAGAATGGTATCGCTACTGACATGACAAGTTGAGGCCTGTATCTCCTCTGAATGATGTTTTTGAAAGGATGCTTAATGGTTTTAGAAATCTCACCAGCTTTTATAAGATCATCAAATTCTGCTTGGACATCTTCGGTGCCTCTGACTCTTTGCAGTATCCTCTTGGCCTTTTCATGATTGTTGCTGTGCTGAAGTATACTATTCGGAGTTTCTGGAAGAAAAAGGGCACCTAGAGTCAGAATAAATGCTGGGACCGCAGCCAGAGCAAGCGAGATTCGCCATCCCCGTCCATCTTTTATCTTTTCAGTGCCATAGTTAATCAAATTGGCTATTAAGGCTCCAATGCCGATGCTTAGTTGAAAGCTGTTGTTGATTGCTCCCCTGAATTTGGCTGGCGCCATTTCTGACAGGTATAGTGGAACAGCCTGAAGATTGGTAGAGGACAACGTATACGTGTAAGCTGAAAAGAAATTAAGATTGATAAATTGAACTAGACCCATTCATAAGCTCATTTGTTTCCTTTATTATTATGCGGAAGGACTGACAGCTGATGCATCCCACCTGGTTTGCAAAACCAACACCTATTCCAAGCAAAATTCTTCCAAATATAATCATGTACACATTGTATGCAGCGCCACCAAGAGCTGCTCCAGAAAGGAAAGCAGCTCCTCCAGTAAGGATCGATGCCTTGCGCCCAAAAGCTCGAGTGAGTGATGAAGCACAGAATGAAGCAACGAGGCCAGCTAGATAGAGTGAAGAGGTGAATAACGTCAAGAGTTGGCTGTCGAATTTACAATAGTTGCTTGTTTTGGTGTCCTCTTTCATTTTAGTGTAGACATCTGGGAAGAATTTCTTTAGAAATGGCTCCATAGAGGTCACCCCGCCTTCAAAATTGCCAAAACAAGTTAGGACTTCTGATCACTCAACAAGTTCATAGCAATGATTAACAAATACACATTTATTCCTTCACAGAATTTGGGGATCAAATTAGTTTATCAGTTATCAACAAAACTTCCTTCACAGAATTTTACTCTTTGCATCTCTAAGAAGACTCGAAACTTACCAGAAATTAACGAAAAATATAGGAAATTCTTATGTTGGAACTATAAAAGTTGGAATATAACTCAACACCTGTATGCCTACTTCACTCAACACTTGTTCATGCATCATTTCATCAAAGATTTTTTTGTTCTCGACGATGAAACATTGAAACAAAATTGCTACTGAAGAAACCTGAAATTCCAATATCATAGCCAAATATGACTCCTCCCATGGCAGCCATCATGCAAGACAAGACCACGAACGGTGTCATCCTGCCATTGTAGTTTCCTCCATCACTTGTAATTGCCAACCCCACAGCCATAGCCTCTTCCAAAATTATCTGCAGCAGAACAAGTTCCGGCAGGTGCTTCTGCCACTGCCTTATTCTCAAGGGATTGAAAGGAGTACTGTTGTACTCAAGCGTTCCAACTTGAAATAGAGCCAGAGAAGGACACAGCAACAAGTCCAACTTGCTTGCTTGCTTGCTTGAGATGAGTATAGTATTTTTCCAATCCACAATTTCAAAATTTATTATCTTTTCTTGACTTTTTGGTAACCATGTGATGTTGGAATGCTGGTTGTCATTATTGGAGGCTTATATGGCCATCATTGTCAGCTATGAGGAATTGAGGAATATTCAGCACAAGCAAGGTAACCCGAGGAATCAATTCACTAAACGTTATCTAAAAGAATGGACATGCAGGATTCTTGACTATAATATCTTTGCCAATTAAATGCACCAATTAGGGAAGATTTCCATCCATTATTGGTAAGAGAAATCCCCGCATTTGATATTTAGTCATCCATACATGATCTTCCCTCCTATCATCAGCCAATATAGTGAAAAATTAGTAGTTTGAAAAGTTTCATACGATTAGTTATGGCACATGGTACAAGTACAACAACGAAAATCTCTTGTTGGAAAGACAGTCATTAGCTACCTAATTGAAGAACATTATCCTTTCTCCTGCTTACGGCTCTGAGCATTATCTTGAGTTCAAGGCAATTAGTGTATAACAAATATGCATTTCAAATACATAACGGTGAAAGAAAGTAACAAATATACTTTTATTTCAAGTTTTAGTAATTATTAATGATTAAAAGATATATCAATTGATTATTATAAAATTAAAGTTACGTAGAAAAAGTATTATAAATGCAGGAGACGCAATGAAAATGAGAAAATATTGTAACCATTTATTAGAAAGAATCTAAAATATTTTTTCCCCCTTAAACTTGGGATTATTTAGGTATCATCCCGTTTAAAACTTCTCCTAATCCTTTCTGTTTTTCTTCTAGCAAACAAACAAAAGAACTAGAATCCAAATTTTGCATAGTTTTTCTTGACCTGTTGAATCTACCTATCCCATCAGTTTTAAGACTCTGACAAGTTGCTAGGTTAGATGTGTTCGTAGAACCTGGGAGTTGAGTTTAACACCCCTACTGCTGCATATTCTCATGGCCGACACATTCGTTGCATTATGCTGGATAAATTGTTTGGGCTTAAGAGCTAAATGTACATACTGTTGATGGAATTAGCGTGCTCAATGCAATTGTGCAGCAGCCAGAATAATGTCAAAATGTGCGAAATTCAAAACCCCGATCCTATCAAGCTCGAATTTCCCACCAAAAGATTGTAACTACCTTTTGAGCCCTTTAACATCATCCACTTCTCTCTCCTCTGTCCTGCAACACTACATCAACTCAGACCACCCTTCTCATGGCCAAAAGATTCATTCCCACATCATTAAAACTGGGTTCAAGCCCAATCGCAACATCTCCATCAAGATCATCATACTTCACCTGAAATCATCTAGCTTGTCATATGCGCAGAAAGTGTTTGATGAATTGCCTCAGCCAACTCTTAGTTCTTATAACTACATGCTATCAGGTTATATAAAACATGGGCTCGTTGAGAAGTCTTTTGATTTGTTTAGAAAATTGACGTTTTCGGGTGAAAAGTCTGACGGGTTTACATTTTCAATGATATTGAAGGGGTCTAGTTTTGAAAGTGTATTGTCGCGATCCAAGACTGTGGGCAGAGAAGTACATGCGCAGATAATAAAATCTGGTGTTGATGGTGATGATGTGCTTTACACGGCTTTAGTTGACTCGTACGTGAAGAGTAGGAGATTGGACTATGCAAGGAGAGTGTTTGATTTGATGTTGGAGAAGAATGTAGTTTGTTCTACATCTATGATCACTGGTTACATGAACCAGGGTCTTATCGAAGATGCTGAGCACGTCTTCAACAAAACAGTGGAAAAAGACGTGGTGGTTTTCAATGCAATGATTGAGGGTTACAGTAAATTGATTGAAACTGCCAAGAAAGCAATTCAGGTTTTCATTGCCATGCAAAGGACAGGATTTAAGCCCACAATATCAACCTTTGCGAGCATTATTGGGGCTTGTTCTGTAATATCTGCATTTGAAGTTGGTCAGCAGGTTCAGGGGCAACTTATGAAGACTGAATTGTTTACTGATATAAAAATGGGGAGCGCTCTTCTTGATATGTATTCAAAATGTGGAAGAACTGTGGACGCAAGAAAAATTTTTGATCATATGCCTGAAAAGAATGTGTTTTCATGGACTTCCATGATTGATGGTTATGGGAAAAATGGTGCTCCAAATGAAGCACTTCAGCTGTTCAATAGGATGCTGTTAGATCCCTTGGTCAAGCCTAACTATGTTACATTTCTCAGTGCTCTTACTGCATGTGCACATGCCGGACTAGTTGCAACAGGATGGGAGATCTTTTACCGCATGGAGAGAGACTACTCGATGAAACCAAGGATGGAGCACTATGCCTGCATGGTTGATCTCTTAGGCCGTGCAGGAACTCTTAATCAGGCCTTGGAATTTATTATGGAGATGCCTCAAAATCCTAATTCTGATGTTTGGGCTGCTCTGCTGAGTTGTTCTAGGCTGCATGGAGATGTGGACATGGCAAATTTAGCTGCCAATGAACTTTTCAAATTAAATGCTGAGAGTCGACCTGGGGCATATGTTGCATTATCTAATACCTTGGCAGAAGCTGGGAGGTGGAGCAATGTAACTGAGCTTAGGGAGCTAATGAAGACAAGAGGAATATCTAAAGGCACTGGGTTTAGTTGGTTTGGCAGTGATAGTCTAGAAGCTTTATATGCTGGACAATAGATGTAAATGAAGGTAAAAGCTTTTCAAATGTTGTCTTAAACTTCATGCTTATGCATTTCGTTGATCTGCTAGATTATGCATGATTCTGAGATCTCTAAATTGAAAACTAACTGACCATGGCTGCTTTTTAACTTGCTTTAGGGACAGACTTACTGATAGTTTTCAACCATAAACATGTCTTAGTCCTCCCTTTGCTTGTCCTGACATATGATAACAGGAAAATACAAGGAAAAAAGCACAACCTAAAAATTGAAAAGCTTATGCACTCTGAGTTCATTTGTAGAGAACCTGAAACCTATAGCCTTATTGCCCAGCATTGAACAAGTGACAGGAAACCAATTCCTTCAATATTTGTTCAATCATGCAATTTTCCTGGATAGGGAAGACATATGTGATGATGCTGGACAAGTTTGAACCTAGCTTGAATCATGTCAATGTTTTCATGTTGACCTCTGCCATTTGGTGGTACAAATCAGTGGTTGCCTTCATTGATGCAAACTTAAATCCCAGATGCAAATCATTTTCACACTGTGGTGAAAACCTACTTACATCACTGAACTGGTCGTTGTAGATGCTATGATGGTCCACTGACGTTAGATATCTATATTCTTGTACTTTCTTGTCTAAAAGGAACATACGTCTTGTGCTTTGCATATCGTGTTTTCATGTGAAGCAATTGATTTTTACTGGATTGCTTTTCCATCAAAGCGTTCTGAACTTCCACTTGTACCAACATGTTTTGGTAGCAGGGACGCACGAAGAAATTTTTTTTTACTTTTGGAATCCAGTATTTGATGTTGCAACCCATGTATGTGTAGATAGGGAAATTTAATACACATTATTTGGTAACTCTTCAACTGATCAACTAGAGTGGTTTAGAAATTTGGTCCAATCTTTTGCATGGGTTTCAAGTTAAAAAGGTTAAGCATGTGCCTTTTGAGACACAAGTTTGATAATACCGGAGTTAGGTTCTGCTGGGTTTGAAGCAATCCTGGTTTTTGTGTCATGAAAATCTTTGCCATGACATTTGTGAGATTAACTAATGAGGTGATTAATGATCCGTTTGCAGGCTGTGATGAATTTTCACAATTACTCATTCTTTGTTTCTAGGCTAGTTGGACTGATTATAAACAGGAAAACAATCAAGGACGAACCTACAAAAAACTTAGCACATGGGCTTGCCTACTTTTGATTCAATGCCTTGGCTAACAGTTGGAGAATATGAAGAACTTGGTTCATGGACGTTGCTGCTCTGTGATTGTTGTCAAGAATGATATTCAAATAAGACATGATTTTTCTTTTTCTTGAGAGGGGATGATGGGGAAAGCAAGAATGGTGCAATAAGAATCCATATCTGGTCAAAGCAAGGTCTGTGTTCACTGCACAATATTTAATTCCAAGGGAAGGCTATGTTTAGCAATTTTTACACAATAACATGGTCCCCTTTTCTGCGCTTTCTTCTTCTTGGATGAGATTCTTCGTTGTCATTCAAAAATTTCCAATGTCATGATATGCATGGGTGATTTAGTTATCGCTTCTTATGTACAGGAATCATCATTCCGTCTTATTCTGGTTTATATTTGGTGTGGCAACTTCTTAGCAACAAAGTGATATATTTAATTCCACTTTGGAAATGAAATAATAGGAGAACTCTTTTTGTACCTTCACTGAGAAACAAAAAAGTTATTGCTCGGAGTGATATTCAAATTGGCTATTCATTTAATCAATACCTACTTGTAGTCAATCAAGTTGCTTACCACATCTACTGTTTATTGAATTGATACAGGTGCTGGCTGAACTTAGCATGGTGAGGATCATGGTTCCATGGTTGGTTCCAGATCGGTCATTTTCATCAATTCAATGGTCAACACAGTTTTTAAGTGTAAATATACATCCTATAATGACTTCATTATATGGTTAGACAAGCTTAGTGAATACCAAAGCAAAAATGCTTTAAGAAGAGTTGATTGAAAATTGAAAGTTTCATCTTCATGCAGTTTATCTTCCGTCCAGATTATTATAATGCTGAACACAGCTTCATCATCATTGGCAACATATGGGTCTTCTTTGTAAAGTTTTGTTTATTGTACTTGTAGCTAGGGCAAGAGACAAATGTAGCAGGGAATAAAAAATTAGCTGATTACCTCTCCGAAAATTTGTAGTTTCTTGTACGTTATACTCAAGATTGGGTGATTTGGATTTGTTTAGTTACTCTTGAATCGCGAAATCTTTCTTTTCATGACCTTCTTAATGCTAACATATTTTCCTTCCTTAAATTCACCAATTAGTTTCTTACCTTTTAAAACTTTTGTCTCTGTATACCGCCAAATACAAAGGATACTTTTATATTTGTCCTGGTATTGCAATTTAATATTACTTTGTTTTCCTCTTTTATTATCAGTAAGCTGGACCGGAAAGAGGGACCAAAGGGAGGAGCATCTGATGTTTGCTATTTAGTCAACTGTTTAGTTCCAAACACAATATTGCATAGAGAAGACTGCAATGGAGGAGAAATTAGTGTATTATCCAAAATCATATTCGGTCATATAATACAAAAATGGAAGAAAGTTCTCACTCCTAAATCATTGAAAGTGTTCTATGAATGGATACTCTATTCCCCAATGATAGCTGTGCATCGAAACTTGTTTAAAACTAGTTTCTAAATATTCTTGAAGTGTGAACCAAAATTTAAACATCATTGATAATCCAGAGTTTGGCATTTATGTGACAAATTAACCAAACATTTTGTTGGAGGAAATGAAAAGGACTAAATCTTGATGTCTACAACAATCTTGGCGAGATATATTTCATTGTTTCAAAACTAGAAAAGAAATACAAAATATCTAGTAACACATATTTGGAAAGGCAATCTTTGTCAATAGTAACACATTAAAACTATGTTTGAAGTGGATATAGTCATGTCCTAAATCAAATTGTTTGAAGTGAAATTAACCCTCTACACTTCTTTCAGTATTAACAAGGCCATTAAAAATGGTCAAATCAAGAAAAAATGCAGTGAATATATTTCTCTACGATTCATCCTCTCCAAGTTCTTTCCTAAGAACATTTTGTTCGTTTGTACTTCTCGCATTATTGTCTTCACCTCAGCATGCGATAGGATGCTATACATCAATCTTTGCCTTTGGCGATTCACTGACTGATGCTGGAAACTATCTGGAGCTATATCCACATTTAGTCCCACATCATAAACCTCCCCATTTTTTCTTTCCACCCAATGGAGAGACCTACTTTCATTACCCTACTGGCAGATGCTGTGATGGTCGTCTCATGATAGATTTCTTTGGTCTGTATCATCTAATTAATGTATAGTTTCAACACATATACTATATACGTTGTGCACTAGAATTGAAGCCCATGTTTTTTTTTTTTTTGGTTTTGCTTTTTAATATTTTTGTTACCATTAATCTATTGCTTTGCAATGGTTTGTTTGCATATCGGTCTGTTTTGTAGCTGAATATTTTGGACTTCCACTCCTACCAACATATTTTGGTGGTAAGAACAATGAAAGCAACAGAAATTTCGACTCTGGTGTGAATTTTGCAGTTGTAGGGTCTCCAGTACTAAATATTTCATTCTATGAACAAAAAGGACTAGTCTACCTTACTCCATGAAGGATCAGCTGAATTGGTTCAAAGATTTGCTGCCAATTCTTTGCAGATCTTCAAGTAAGTTTTTCCCTGACTATTAGTGTAAAGATTTCTTGACATCAACGGATTTGGATGCAGGATACTTAATCTATATTCAAATTCATGTATACCCGCACAAATTATATATTAAAAAAACAATGCAAGAAAGATTAATCAATATATTTATTGGAAAAATGTTTCTCCAGTTTTGGAATGAAATCAACATAAAATTCCACCATTATGGCTAACAATTGATTTCAGTGCTCCTAAACTAGTATTGATTAATTGCGTTCACCAAGTTCAGCAAAAAGTCTTGACATCTACGAGAATCAAAGGACAGTAAATTAATGCGATTCTTTAAAGATATTGAATTAATGCGATTCTATAGAGGGGTTAATGTCTATTAATGTTCATAGTTGGGTAGAAGCAAAAGTCAAATGCAATGTGTACAGTGTACTGAGCTCAATTATCCACTTACCTTAAAGAGGGAATTTAGTTTGATTTTGCTTTGACATTAAAAAAAAATAAATGTAGATCTTGCAAGAAACGCATTTTTGCTCCCTAATTGATTGTAATGAAAAAGTGATAAAAACAAAAGTTTTAGGGATTGTCGAATGAGACATACAACTCACTACAAATTTAATACATGTTTTGTATATTTGATAAGATCGCGTTTCAGACATAAGATTTCTCGTCCCACTTGGAACAATACTGATGATCGGGGATTCAAAATATCTAAATTTTCTTCCTTCCTTTCTTTCTTTTTATTTTTACTCCAATTTTATTAATAAGCAAAACAAAACTTGTACAAGGGATAAAACCCCCAAACATAGTGACATATGAACAACAAAGGCTATACTAGATGTCTAAATTTTCCTAAGGCATATCTATGTAATTAAGTTACCACATCTCTAAGGCACATAGGAACATGTTTCTCTTCTTTTTTTTTTTTGGGGGGGGGGGCAGGGGGGGAGGGGGGAGGGTGGAACAGGAACATGTTTCTTTGCTAATCTGAGTACAAGAAAGAAGCTCCTGGCAATGGATTCTGTCATCTAGTCTGTTTCATACCCACCTATTCTTTGTTTCATCGTATATTCCTTTTATGGTTAAATATTGAATAACAATTTGCTCTCGATTTGAGCAATTAATTGCTTGATTCTCTTTCTTTGCTTTATTCTTTGGGGCTTGATTGATTCTCGTCCCTAAGTAGTCTCTCATTGTCTTGTGTCGTTGGCAATTTTCTTACACTAGCTCCAACGCAGTCAATATATCAAGACATCGGTCTTCCAGAAATTGAGGGAGCCAATATATCAAGAAATTAGAATTTGTACTTTCAAATTTCTAGAAGGGTTAATCACATTTTATCCCCTTAAAGAATACCCCATTTCTCAGTTTACCCCCTAACCTTTAATTTTGCTCACTTAACCCCCTTTAGGACAAAATTGCCCTTGCATTATTTTGACTTTTCATTTACCTTGTTTTTATTTCTTTTTCTCTTTCTTCTTTATTTAATTCTTCCTCTTTCCCACAAAAATCTTCACCTTAATGATTGAAATTCAAAAAGAGGAATTGCAGAGATCTATCTTCTCTTTAAATGATTAAAAAAATATTCAAATCACTTTCCTAAAATACAATTTTTTTAGCCTTTCAATTCTTTTAATTTTGGGTTTTCCTCTTTCCTTTCTAGTTTCTCATTTTATTCTCAAGAAAATATCATAAGATGAAATTGTTTTCCTTTCTTTTATTTCTTTTTCTCTTTCTTCTCTCTTTCATCCTTCCCAATAGAAATTCCATTTCAACGAAAATTTTTGTTTTGAGTTTGTAATTGCATATTTCTGGGTGAAGGTTTAAAAGTCATCAAAAACTAATTTTGATTTTTTGTATGATGTCACGTGCCACAAATTTCAATTGATGATTATTAATCAGGTCACAATTTCATTTTAAGATATTTTCTTGGGAATAAAATGAGAAACTAGAAAGGAAAGAGGAAAACCCAAAATTAAAAGAATTGAAAGGCTAAAAAAAATGTATTTTAGGAAAGTGATTTGAATATTTTTTTTAATCATTTAAGGAGAAGATAGATCTCTGCAATTTCTCTTTTTTAATTTCAATCATTAAGGTGAAGATTTTTGTGGGAAAGAGAAAATGAAATAAAAGAAAGGAAAACAAGGTAAATGAAAATTCAAAATAATGCAAGGGTAATTTTGTCCTAAAGGGGGTTAAGTGAGCAAAATTAAAGGTTAGGGGGTAAACTGAGAAATAGGATATTCTTTAAGGGGATAAAATGTGATTAACCCTTTCTAGAATTTGATTTTTTTTTCCCTTTTACGCTCAAGAGTATCATGTTATTGCATCACGAAGATTTAGTTTAGTAGATAATTTCAAAATCTTTATTAATTAGTTTAGTTGATCTTTGCTGACCCATGTGGGATTTACTTGTTTAAGAGATATTTTGCTCAATCGATCAAAGTTTAGCAACTGTATGACAAAAGTGGTACAAGTAGAAATTTCTATCACACACAATTGTAATTCTTTTCCTCAAAACGTTTGAATTATCTTACATAGTTTGACCAATACTAAGGTTATCAAAATCCATTTGCAGGCTGCAATGACCTTATGCAACGCTCATTAATTAGTTATTTTTGGACCATTTGGAGCAAATGATTATAACCATCAATACTTTGGAGGAATAAGCAGGGAAGAAATTCAATCGGTGGTACCCCTAGTTGTTCAAGGCATGGTCTCGGCTGTCATTGTGAGAATCCATCATAGAACTGCTTAAATTACATCACTATTCAGTCATATGGAAAAATATTACCTCCTATCAAATATTTTCTCTGTTTAAACACAATTACATGCATTTAACTCTTCATGTTTTTTTGAAACTGAGCTGATATAGACGTTAACTCCAAACCTATGTTTTATATGTCACACCAAAACGATTTGAAAAGGCCAATGAATAAGCCATCATAATAGTATTCTATTCAACTTGTATAACATTCACTAACCATCTCTCACAGGAATACGTTGCATTTAATGCATGGGCTATTAAACCTTGATGCAAGAAGTAATTAGTAGAGTTTCTAAAAGCAGGTTAACTGTGTTTTTTGGCCAGATTATGTCGGGTGCTATTGGGTCTTCTCACCCTAAAAGCTAGTTCATTGGGTGAGACTTTCCTTTACATTTACAACCAAGCATCCTATCCCTTCTACAACTGATGTGAGATAACCTTCAAAAATCTCTCTTTCAGACATTAAGTCCTAGGTTGGAACAGCATCATCCTTTCATCCAACAGACATAGGTTAAGTTGGGACAATATCAACCTTTCATCTAATGGATAACATTTCATTGGGAGGAGTTATCATAATTGAATCTTGATACCCGTGTTGGGTGCTCTAAATCAGTAGGGTAGCAATTTGCATTTTACTCTTCTATTCCTCAGTTGAATTTTCATTATGCAGGAGCTCATCGAGCTCGGAATGACGACAATAATGGTCCCGGGAATGATCCCAGCTGGTTGCTTACCTCAACCTTTGAGTTTCAATAGAGATCACCCTTCAATAGCAGGATGCATTGGATGGTTGAATGAGCTTATGATCTACCACAATGATATGCTTCAAAAGGAGTTGAATAGAATTCGAGATCACCATCCTCATGCATCTATAATCTATGCAGATTATTACAATTCCACCGTGCAACTCTATCATTCGGCACAAGAATATGGTATTTAATTCATTCTTCTCTGTTCATTTCATTGATTTTTTTTCGGGTCTTTAAAACACGTTCCTGAATATTGAGTACATGACCCTTTTTGAGATATTTGACTTTACAGATATCACCAAAAATTTGGAGATGTTATTAGCCATATATTCTTCCTGAATGCTTAGTAATGTGAAGGAGCTTGATTCAGGTTTCAATGGGAAAAACTTCGTAGCCTGTTGTGGAGGTGGAGGCCCTTACAATTATAACTTTACAGCTGAATGTGGCGATCCATTGACAACTTCTTGTCCATATCCTTCGGTGTTTGTGAACTGGGATGGGAATCATTTCACCGAAGCTGCAAATAGATGGATGACCAGGGCAATTTTAGAAGGACGATACACCTTTCCTCAAATTAACACCTCCTGCATTAGCTCGGTAGATGGAGATGATGGAACACACCTTAGCTCTGGCTAGATTTGATTTTTTTTTTCTGGTTTATTTTTTAGATGCATCTACTTAATGAAGTAAATTGATGGGTTTATGGCCCATTTTAGATCAATACAGGTTGGGGTTGTCCAATTCAAACCGATTAATGTAATTTTAACACATTTCAGTGTCTAATTGTACAAATTGGGTATCACTTTGAATTTGTTAACTAGTATAATTAAAAGAGATAAAAAATTTTCGATGGTAAATTGACATAAGAAAGTTCAATAGGCAAACTAGAAGATTTGAATTGTTTAACGCGGTCGCTTGAGATCTTTTTTTTTTTTTTTTTTTTTCCTTTATAAACTAAATGTGTCCTCTCAAACATATTCCATGAACAATCATCAATTTGACAAGGACTAAGATATTGAGGACAACAATTTTTTTAGTCATCATCCGACATATGAAGCTTGAGAAAAGCTGAGTTTCCCCATATATACACTAAGCACCTAGGTTTAAACCCTCAACATGATGTCCGAGAGGGACTTTAAGATGTCCTTCCTAATCGACTTGGCTAAGCTGCGTTGGCTAAGACTTTGGAAAGGTCACTCTACAAAAATTGATGACTCTAATTTGGGACTTGGTTAGCTTGTCTTGCATATCAGTTTCCCTTATAAATGCTCCTTTCTTCATTTTATTTCTTTCTAGTTCCCTCTTTGTTGTCCAACACTAGCGTTTTAGCCGATCAGAACTGACATTAGCGTCACCACATCCACCCCATCACCACTCACATCAAGAACATGTTTTGTTTTTACTACATTTGAAAGTAAATAGTAATATTTTATGTGTTTTGCACGTGATTGTGTTCTCCCAAAATTTTATATTTCTTTTTTGTAAGGTTTTTTGTGAAATGTTGATTGTTAATATCACAATTTTTTCTTTAAAAGTGGCTTTTTGAAAATATTATTTACATTGAAACCATTGCTCTAATATTTTAAAAATATTTTTTGAATTATTTTAGATAATTTATAACTCAAAATCTGAAGAATTTAGCCAAAATTTTTGAATAATCTTAATTTCATTATAGAAAAAGCATAATATTGTAATATTTTATGCACAGAAGGTGTTAAAGAGAGAACAATATATCTAGACATCGAGCATTGGAGCAGCCAATAGAATTAAATCAATATGAATTCTTCGAATATGAATTTTTTTATATTTTTTAAGGTGTTTATTTTTGTTGGTGGTGGGATTTAAATATTCCATCATAATTATTCCTAGCTGGCTATTTATCTTCATAATTTCAATTTCCAGAGATGGTGGGCATATCCTTTTTTATTTTTTTTTTATTCCTATTTGTAATTTTATTTTTCTTTTCTTTTATGTTATTTTGTAGTTTTTAATTTTCTTTTATTTTCTTTGTATTTTTTTATTAGTAATCCATCTCAATAGTATTAATATTTTTTTAACCAACGTGTAGATAAAGAATTTTGGTTAGGAAGTTTTCATATTTATTGCCATCATAATACAAATATACTTAAAGTTAATAGAAGGTTGTTATATATATGTATGTGTGTGTATCACCGTAAATGAAATACAATGAATTACACAATAAAAGAATGAGGGCTTATTAGGAAGTACAAAACTAAAAGATAACATTATACTCACTCCAAAACACTAAAGATTCACCATAGATAGATAGACAGACAGACAAATAGATAGATAGAGAGATAGCATATATAATCTTTTAGTGGAAGGCTGTAGACCGGAACGAAATGATTTGCTATGGGTTCGCCTTGATGTGACGAGGACTCCAACTTTTTTCTTTTCAATTGAGAGCTTGTGCTCTACTTTTTTTTTTTTTTTTTTTTTTTTTTTTTTTTGTCGACGGAGTGGGGTGTCCGGGTCAAGTCCGTAAAGGCGGCCCGACTAATCCCCACTCCGGCCCGGTCCAGCGTCCCAACCAGACCTAGCACGTTAAATGCACGGCGAACTGATGTTGCTGCTGAGGTTCGACCCCAGGACCTAACGGTCCCGAGGAGGAGGCGCCAACCACCAGCCCATTCACGTGGGGGCGAGCTTGTGCTCTACTTGATATTGTGAAAGTACACAACGAAAAAAGTGGATTGGCAGTTACATTTTTGGGGCTAAATTTCTTCCATCAAAGTGGTGTGCTATCATCTTTACAGCAACAATTTTAAAGTATTGATTGTAAGTCCACTTTTTTTATTTTTATTTTATAATTCAAAGGTTCTCTAACCTTACAAACGAGAAGGGATAAAAGGGAAGGGTCCAGAATTGACTTAGAAATCTCATGATCACCTATTTTTATTCCCACACTCTTCATTTTTTGACGTGCATATCATGTGCTCTTGGGTACCAAATAAAAAGTTTTTTTTTTTTTAAAAAAAACATCATATGAAATTGTCATGAGAGGAGAAGTCTTTTGCATTTGGTTGTGAAGTATTCCAAGATTGGGCCGTGTTGGCCCGATTCAATTTCAACCATTTATTTCAAAATTGGGATAATTTTATATGCCTCCCCTGATGTTTATCCTAGTTACAGCTACCTCCCCTAGTGTTTCAATAATTACAGTTACCTCCCTTGATTGGTTGAAAAGACTTTAGTATCCTTTGACTTTTCAAGACTTTCAAAAAGATAAAAGCCACAAAAAATCAAAAGTAACCAGATAATGAAAGAACCACATGTCACCTAACAAGGAAGCTACTAACAAGAACACGGCTCAAATGGAAATTGAGATATAGGGATACTCCACAATCTCTTCTATTTGGATTTGAGTCTCCAAACCTTTTTTTTTCTTTGAGTCTATATACTTGGTTGCGTAAAGTTTCTAGAATCTAATGGTTGTCTCTATTTGTTGGTAGTTTTTTGACAAGGGATATTCGTCTCTAATTAATGGAAATTTTAAAATATAAATAAAAAATATAATCCTTTAACCTATAAACTTATGAAAAGCTTTAAAATTCTTTCCATAGTTGGTTAAAGACTTTTCCCATTCACTGATGAATTTTGGTGCGACAATTGCTGTACCATAAGTAACCCGACTTGATGTAGACAATACGATACGAGCCATGCATCTTAGTTGTCACTTCCGGCCGCCACCACAAGTAACCTGTAAGCCTGTAAATGAATCTATAATTGGCACGATGACCATGCAAGGATCTTTGCATGTGCCCATCTTTAATGCTTATCCACAAATTACAAGTCTACGTGCTCGTACTCTAGTGGCGGCGGTGTCTGCAAGTGGGAGCCTGGGTGGGATGGGGACGGGGCATATTTTTCTTCCCTCAGTTTTAAATGGGCCGACAAACGATGCTCCTGCTGATTTGCTCTGTCTCCCCACGTCACCCGACTCACCCGCTTGAGTTGGCTTTCGACAATTGAAATTAGGGTTCGAAGTTTTGGCACCAGAAATAAAGTTGTCAATTTTAATCCAAGAAATAATAGCCCAAGTTCTAGGTTGCATGCTAGTCAATACAATTACTCCATTAATGTCACCAAAAAAAAAAAAAGAATAGAAAAAAAGACCTGCCAGGTTTCAGAAAACCTCTTGATACACACTATTAAGTAGTTTTATCTTGATACACATAATTAAGAAATAGATCCGAGGTGAGGTTAAAAATAGAGTGAGTGGATGTTAATTAATGCTTAGTAGAAGCTCCCTGTTCCCTCTCCCTGAGTCCTCACATCGTCTTGTGAGGGTGTAAGTGTCTAGGATTTAGATTTCATAAGTATTGCCAAACTTCAGCAATTGCCTTTTGGTTGAGCTTGTGGGATATAAAAAAAAAAAAAAAAGTAGTTTTATCTCGTGGTAGCAGTGGCTGCTGAAGAATGTCCGGATTCCTCGGTAATTAAACTGCAAGAAGAGTTGATGTGAGGAGCGGTGTACGGCCCTTCTACTAAACTTTTGGTGATAAATTTGTTTGCAGCTTCAGTACAGTGAGCCCCATCCCAGCTGATAGATAAAGATGGCTGAGCACAAGCTGTCGAGGGCGGGTCGCCACACACAGCATCGGAGTCATAATTGTAGGGGATGCCTCCCGCACCACAGCAGGCCATTAGAGGTTCTCCCCCAAACCCTTAAAAAGAACGTTCACAAGAAATGCTTCTCTCAGAATTATGAGAGTCCTGCATATCATGATGATGCTTATTTGGGAGATTACGTACACACACACACACACAAGGATTTCAAACAAATTCACATTGAGTTAATTTTGTTAAGTAAGGTAATTAGTGATGGAAACATATATCTAGACGTGTTATACATGGTTCGACCGAGGCCTCTCAGACTTGGCAGACCAGAACGTTAGTTCCAAAAAACGAAAGGAAAAAAAGAACAATATAGGAACTTCAAATGTGGTTATCACCAAAGCTTAACTTCTTTATTTCCTTTTGTTCTATAGAATAAATTCCCTTTCATGATTAAACATAGACAGCTTTATAGCAGATGTAATAACCTTACACCTATTAACACTAGTTCTATACCCTCCAATCAAAGTTGCCGAAACAATGCTTGATTTGATTTTGATAGTTGTGATTTAGACAATGGTTTGTGTAAAAAGAAACGAACAGAGATATAGAAGATCATACAACTAATATACATAAATAAAGAAGAAAAAAACAGAGAGAGAGAGAGAGAGAGAGAGCATTACCATGTTGCTCTGGAGAGAGATAAAGCTGGATGAGAGCATCGTAATAATTGGCATACATTACTACTGCATTACGATGCCTTTGCCGAATTCGAGTTAACTCTGCTTGAAGTAGTTCATTGTGATACTTGGAGAAATCGTTTAACCAAATGAGACAACCTGTTATTGGATCATAATCTTCTTTCTTATAGCCCTTGAACATTGTTAACGAAATTGGCATACATCCATCTGGCACCAATCCTGGAACCATGATGTTCTTCACTCCAAGATTGATCAATTCCTACATCAGGAAGATGCAAACTACAGATTTTCGGACTTACACTGATATTCTTAAGAATGGAAGCATGCAAGACCATAATCCAAAACATTTGTAAATCTTCAAAGGAAATTATTTTTTGATTTTTTTTTTGTTGACACAATAGTTTCTATTTCATACCTACTCTTACTCTATTACTCTATACTAAGGGAGATGGAGTGGGCTCAAATTAGCCAATGGGGAACCTATTCAAAAAAAATTGCTTTTAGGCCAATGGAAAATTTATTTGTGTATTGAGGTGCTTCCTTTTTGGGAATCTGAAATATCTACTGCTACTTATTGCCCCATTAAAATTTCGAGTCAATATATGAAACAATACAATATCTAATTAAGTGGTTACAATTATCATATCTATTCTTTGGATTAACGTTTTGGTTAGGCTATTAACTCAAGGACATGAGTTAGCAGCTGCAAAGTTCTTGACTTGACTCTCAAATCCTTCCTCCTTCCTCCTTTTCCTTTGTCGCGAGCCTCCCTTGAACAAAAAAAATCTTGTGGTACCCAAAAGGCTTTAGTACTATTCATTGGCATATATAACATAAGGATGAGCCATGTACAGAGAGATTCTTCTTTTGTCCCTGGCGTTAGAAAGAGGGTCCAACCTCAATGTCTTTAGTTCCCCCCTCCCTCTCCTAACCTCCCCTGCCTTCCATGCATTTTTTTTTTCTCTCTCTCTGGATAGCTACAACTGCCCCTTCGTTTCCATCAAAAAGAGAGAAAAAAAAAAGAGAGTTTTACGAGCATCATTTTTTACACCAAAACTTTATATTCGATTAGTCAAATTTTAATTTGTTTCAGTTGAGTCATTTCAATATATGGAATTGGAAAATTGTGAAAGTGAAAATGCTACTTGGCACTTTGGTGAGAAACAATTTCTCTCTCTCTTTTTTTTTTTATTCATTTCAAGAAAACCAACCTAAGACACAAAAAATATCAGATTCTTACTTGAATAGAAATGCTAATGGCATTAATAACCAGAGGAACCAAAGTTTTTGTCTCCTCCAAACTTCTTCCTTGAAGGAAGGAATGGCCATAGTCGTTGCCACCGAAAGGTCCCATAACAATCAGTGAGCTATTAAAAAGTTCCCTACAGCCTGCAAAGAGTGATAGCATACCGATATACTCGAATAGCTTAGCTAAGTTCAATTTTTCAGACAAATAAACCTTCCAATTGAAGGAGCATTGAATTAAAGCTTGTTCAATAGAACTTTGAAAAAAAAAAAGGCATAGTATGTCATCAGCATGTTGTCAAATATCTAAACCCCTCTAAGGTAAACACTAGAGTCAATTTCAACATATACAATTGCAAAAGTATTCTTATGATTGGCCCGTGATACATGGGGTCTGTGGTTTCCCCTTTTAGCCTTTGAGGTGGTAGAACAAGATTGCAAAGATATAGGTGCTTATGACTTGAGCACCTGGCATTGGATGAGGCAAAAATTTGGGTAGAGCCGATTTTAAAGACCTAGTGATCCAAATTTTATCATATCTTTAATACTTAAATTGATAAAATAGTGCAATAAATTTTGAACCACTAAATTTACATAAATCGGGTCTATTCACCTTTGGATGTATCTCCCAAGTTATCCCATATTTCAAAATTATACTTGTCCCTATGAACCTATTAAATTTAGATGAATGGACAAGTGTAACCTAATACATTTATTTAACACAAAGTGTAATTTATAGTTTGGCGGTATCTCTTCTTGAAATTTAACGACAACATGAAAACCTACTTTCGCTTGAAAAGTGTAAGCAAATCAGTTTCGGACTAATAATAACTAGTATTAGTTAGTTTAGTATGTCGCTAACTATTTTCTCGCCAAGAAGTCTTACTTGATGATCTACAAAGAGAGGGCAGTACTCCTTTGAACCAGCTCAGTTGAGTTCTCATGGAGATATTAGACGTAGTAAAATGGATTCCTCTTTCTTCATAAAAACCAACATCAAGTGCTGGAGCTCCCACAACTGCAAAATTGATGCCGGCACCAAAGTTTGAGCTACTTTGGTTCACGCCCCTAATATATGGTGGTATGAGTGGAAGCCCATAATACTCAGCTGCGAAAGAGAATGCCGGCGTTAAATATCCGGCAATGATCTAGACTCTTTACCTGTGTTTTCAAACTCGGACCGGACCGGCCGGTCCGACCGGTTGAACCAGGAATCGGCCAAGTGTCCGGTCCGAGTTGATCATCAGAACCGGGAGATTTAAAATCCGGTCAACTCCGGTCAAAAATCGGGTTTGACCGGATTTGAGAACTGAAAAAACCGGTCCAACATGAGATTTTGTAAAAAAAGTTCAAACTTTTTTAATATTATATTTTGACCCCCTAAATTGTGAAAACTTATTAATATATCTCAAATATTTCATACTTTATAAATATTGTCCTAAAATTTGATGTTATTTTTCAATTAAATCCATAATTTTAATTCTAAACTTGTTAATGTTTATTAAATAATATAAATTATTACTTGATTGTTCTAATTTCTTTGTATTTTCTTGTTAAATATATTTGAAATATCAAATATATATAAATATATCTTTATTAATATCAATATTTTATTGGATATTTTATATACAATAATTTAATTTTTAAATAATTTTTATTTATGACGTCATCCGGTTCGACCCCTATCAACCCCGGCCGAACCCATTGACCCCTGACCCCTGACCTCGACCGAGTCGATATCCGGTCCGGTTCTGAAAACATAGCTCTTTACCACACGAATTTTGTATTGGAACCGAAAACTTATGTGTATGAAGACTGACGATATTGACACTCCACAAGAAAAATGCTAAGCACTCCACGCTTACTCATTATTGTTGGAAATGTCAGGAGGACCGGTAACCAGCTGGAATCTCTAATAATGTCTTGGGACCAAAAATGAAATGTATGACAATGATGGCTACCGAGTTCCATAATCTTAAGTTTGGGGGCAGAAGTTTAACGAAGGATACAGTTTATGAACAAAACAAAGGAAAAACAATGGATCCGTTTGGATAGTAATTTTGGTTAGCGGAATTTACTACAGCAAGTTAATTTTTGAAATTCTTGTTTGGACACGTCAGATTACAAGTTTTGGTTAGCGGCGTTGGTTGACCCCACAAAAGCCATAAAAGGAAGAGAAATTCTTTCATTCACGTGAAATGGTCAGATAAACGAATTTAATATCCCATCAAGGGCCAGACACCGATGCTTTGTCTGGCCCGTGATCCGTCCGTTGGTCTTTCTAACAAAACGACTGCAAAACCTTCGTTTAACTCTTTTCGGCCCCAAAACAACTCTATGCAGCTCTGTCCTCCTGCAGAAGCATTTCACCCCAAAATCTTAAATTGCCTAACTTGCTTGTGCGACCAAGTACCGAAGAGGAAGATTTGCAGAAATCGGTTGGCTGTCAAAGTGGGTTGATTAAGCGCTTGGTTTGTTCTAAAGGGTTTTAACGAAGAAGGAGATCGTCTGGGTTTTGGCAAGCCATAGGAGCAGACGGCGTTGTCAATACCGAACGCAGAAATCAGAAATCCAGAAATCTTTTGCGGAAAATCGGAAGGCCAGATTTGTATAAAGTTAAAATCAGATTTGGCAGGTATAATTTTGATATTATCATTTCCTGTCTGAGATTGGTAATATGGTTTAACTACTCAATTTCATGATTTGGCCGGGATTCTTAAGTGTGTATTTTGTAGGTCTCTATCCCAAAGCCCCTCCCTCGTTTGCCCAATATATATTCACCCGCCCTTCAAAATCCTTTTTGGTTTACGCATATATATCTACATTCCCTAATATTGACAGATTACGTGTAATTTGGAAACCAATCCCAATTCAGTTTTCTTCTTAATCATTCGGCCCTTTTTTCTTTAATTTATATCAGGCCATTCACTAGATTTGCAAAATGCTGAAAATGTTGGTGCTATTGCTGGTATCCGTACTAATAGTCTACAAAATTATGCTCTTCCGATTTCATATATGTGGTCAAATAGGTTTCCTTTATATAATTCAGATGAATATATTGGATCTACTAATCATGTTAAAATTTCATATTTTAAAATTAAATCCCCGATCACCTAGAAGTACCAGTGAGCATATTCAATTCTGCCATGCTCGTTACTTTTTGGTTGAAGCTTCTGGTACAACCTTTTCAATGAATAAAAGGAGCTCCTCTTTTCAATTAATGTCTGCATTAAGAATATATTAATTTGCCCTGGTTTAGAATATTATTATCTTACATCATTAAATATAATTCTAAGGGATCAATTCTGTATACAGAAAAGTATCCAACCAATTCTAGTCATAGATTACCATCCGGCAATTAATTAGGTAATTGAGCAAATAAGGGGACTATGATCAGAAAAATCAAAAACATGGAGTCGAAACCCTAAATCCATGTAGTAATCTGGCAATTTGTAGCATAATTTGTTTCTTAAAAGATCAAAGGCTTATAAATAGGAACCTCTTTGCATAAGTTTTATAGAAAGTTTGGACTATATCCTTTTAACGTTTTGAAGACTTTGCCTTCTATTGCCGGCCATATTCATCAGCTTACAAAGCGACAAAATGGTTTCCCAACTGATCCAAAATATCGAATGGATGCATAGGGAAATATTTTATAACCCAGTAGTAGTTCCCCATCCTTTCTTTATAATAATTTGGCATTCTCGGATATTACCTCCACATGTAACAAAAGCATATCTGCCTGCTGCAATAAATATTCCTCAGGTGGTTTATGATCTAGTCCGAGGTCCGTGCGTGCCATGACCTTTTGGCCGAAGTAGAGCACCAGTAAATGCCCAACAAGCGGAGGAGATCACTGTCCGGCCCTACTACTCCACCCCGTCTTTCTGAACCTTCATCCGTCCACTCCGTCACAGACTCGAACGACTACATCCAGTCCCTCGTCAACTATTTCAGAGTAAGTTTGGACTCTATCCAAGTTAACTGGCCTCTGTTCTCAAATCAGTCCATTCATCAATCCCCAAATAAAAATTTTGCATGATTAAAAGCTAATTACCTGCGCTCTTATATTCTTAGGCAGACCAGATTTTATCTCGAACCATTCCCGAGTCCATGGATAAGTATTTGCTATTTGGTTTATACGACCATGATCTCTATAATTGTTACCGTATAATATAGTTTGTATGAGTACTTGTACACCAGCTTTTTTAAGCCTTAATATTCTTATCATTTTGTCCCATATTTAAAACACGTCTATGAATTATAATGGGAGCCAATCATATAGAGATCGTGTCACTATATAAATCGTATTTCTGATTCCAAATATAGCATTGAAATTCGTGGATCCAAGCTTTGCACTTGCTTTGCTGCAGTGGCTTTGATAAATAGGATTTTAGCCGTACAATGAATTGCCATGATCTTCCTTCAACCAGATTGGTTTTTTAGCCGTACAATGAATTGTTATTAATGCTTAGCAATCCGTTTGGTTTCCTTGTTTCAGATGCCACGAGACCACACCACGGCAAAGGCCCATTGGGATGAAAATATGGAGATTCATTTCTGTATGACATTCGTCGAGTGGAAAAGGAGCGGGGAGTGGAATCCAAACGTTGCATCAGAGGCCAATTGGATGAAGCTTGCTGCGCACTTGAATGCCGCCTGGGGGAAGCAATATGCGTGGACAGTGTACCATTCTAAACTCGCACGGTTGAAGAAGATTTGGCGCTGCTTTGCCAAGTTAAAGGGTCTGCGACAAACTTCCGAAACTGGTATTGGTTGGGACGAGAATAGGAGGTGCTTCTTGGGAGAACCGTCTCAATGGAACAATTTGTGCCTGGTATTTTTTAATTTCGACCCGAAGATTCAGTTCCAAAGCAGAACTAAAAACTTTGGCCTTATCTTTTTGCCATCATTCACTATTCGGTTACCTGTTCATGACATATTTTTTTGCGTATCGATGCATGTTAGACTACATATTCCATAATAGGCTATAAAAGAATAAAGCCACGACAGAATCATCTTCGAATTCTGCTCAAAAGAAGTCGTGACCATGCATTTTTTTCTGAGTATTCGTCACCTAATCTATAATAGTATTCTTAAAAGTGGCAACTCTTACTTCTTGACAGTGTAGGTGCATACGTGCACATCATAAGTTAAAGCTGGATGAAGCACGATTTTGTCTACAATTCAGTTGATTCTAAAAAAAGGTTTTTGTCGAACTCAAATTCTATCTATATATTGATTAAGGGAACATATACTACTCTTGAAATGTACTCTTGAATTTACATCAGATTTGTATACTCTTGTTTCTCAGTCCTTGTTTTGTCTTTGATTCAGGAGAATAAGGATTATGGATACTTTAGATCCGGCCAATGTGTCGACAAATACGCAATCCTGCACGAGGTCTTTGAAGCAGAAACCGCCACAGGGAGTCAAGCTCAGGCATCTTCAGTACCGCCTTCAATTTACAATCCACGCAACCGAGCTGGCCAAAGTTCTGGGCAGGTTTTCTCATCGCCCCTGGGAGATGAAATGTACAATGCCGGGCAGGGGACTGGTTTCGATGAAGATGCTCCAATTGCTGGAGTGAAGCGAGGTTCAAGCAGCCAGGGGATAACGAGCTCGGGCCCGAGTGCATCCCGGGGAAGCAAGTCAAGTAGAACTTCGTCTGATCCATTCGTCGAGTGTGCCAACTCACTATCCACCCTAGCGAATTCTAAGCTGCATATCAGGAGTCGCCGAGAATCTGAAAAGGAGAAATTTGGACCGGAAATGACAGCCCAGGTCGTGGAATCGTTCGAAGAACTGGACAAAGAGGTGAAGCTCGCTGCAGTTTTGGCACTCCAAGACGACAAGTGGCGGAAGACTTTCCTGAGTCTCAGTCGCGAGATGCAGGAGTTTTGGTTGCAGACTCTACAGAAAGCCCCTCCTAAGGGACCCGATGGAAAGTAGACTTCACTTGGCCTTGCTTGTGTCCCTTCGGCTTAGCTTACTTTCGACTGATAGACTGGAATGAAATTGCGCTATTTCATTTGACTCTTCTGGACATTGAAAAATGATTTGTATTGGGACTTTTGGTACCTTTAGCAATTTGGCTACTGCAATTGATTTTCTATGTACTGCCAATATGTATTATTTAGTTTGCATACGCTTGTCGATGTTGAGTTGTCTTTTTCCCGGTGGAATGAATTGGAACTGTTTCATTTGTCATTTTGGCTTGGACATATATATTATCGTTACTCCTGTATTAAACATTCAATAAGTAGCTAGTAGTTGCGGGTTGATTGCTATGTACAGGAGTAAACCACGAGAGCTTGCCGGACTTGCCGTCTGACATATATATACTTGGTTCGCATATGTAGAGAAGTCCAAACGCAGAAAACATATCATGCCTCTGGCATTCATCAGGAATGAATTATATTCATTACTCAATTGCCGGTTACATTCTTTGGCGGTTACATATCATGGTTACTCAATTATTCACGTGAAACATATACTCAATTACTCAATTCTTTGCCAATTTTCATATACTACTCTTGTACTGCCAAATATAGATGCCACCAGATTTCGTTCCTGTCCTGGTTGGAAAAAATAACTCTTCAAATGTCAGGACTTGGTACGCAGGAGAAAATAGACGTACAATGAAGCACGACTGATTTGGACCAAAAGCAAATGAAGTCATGTGTTATTTTTTTTAATTGATTTTTCATATAAATGAAAAGATCTTCAACATATAAGTCAAGCATATGTAGAGAAGCTCTACCATTATGCAAGGCCACCATCTACACAAAACTCCAAAAGGGAGGAGCAAGAAAGTAGATACTCCCAGAACGCACGTCAATATGTACCTGGCAAAAGCTGCCCACAGGTCATTTGTTTTGGCATCCAAAGATGACCTATCGACACGGCCCAAATAATTGCAGACAATTATTCACGTGATGTCAGGCCATTGGACCCCATGCAAAAAAATCTATCATAGTCCGATAATATGCTATGCCTTTAAAAGGAACTTAAGAATAACAAAAACGAAAGAGAGCATGTGATAACTCAGACCTCACACAGCTCTCATATAGCATCCTCTATTTGGGCTAAACACTACTTGTTCCTGGCAACATATTTGGTGGGAAAGGTTCCAAATGAGCGACTGCGGAGATGAGCAGGGGACCAGCTCGTCTTCGGACGAAGAGGATGTTCTGTTTGCTGCGGGTGCTGCGCTGCTATTTGGACCAAATGCAGAACCATACGGAGGTCCACTCCAGAAGGTGCCATGCAGGACGTCTGCGCTGTCAGGACGACACTGGGTTGAGGAAGTGCTGTCAGGCCACCATACCCGGATCATGGATGCAACAAGGCTAAACGTTGATTCTTTCATGAGGTTGTGCCAGCTTTTGGCCGAATGCGGATTTGTTCCCCAAAATCATCAGAAAAGTGTTACAATAGAGGAGGCACTTGCGATGACATTGGTCATGATGAGCCACAACATGAGAATGCGTATGATTGCTGATCGATTTAACCATTCGACGGAGACAGTGCATCGAAATATTCACGAAGTCATTCGGGGCCTATGCACCTTCGCGCAATTCGCAATTACTCCAAGATGGCAGGATGAAATTCATCCGAAAATTCTTAATGACACGAGGTTTTATCCTTGGTTTGAAGTACGGTGACATTCAAAATCCTATCTCGTTGATTCAAAAAATCCTTTGTTCCAAATGCTTTGTCCTGTATATATAAAATTCTTTTTTTCAAGTATGCTGACATTCTAATATGCCAACTATTTTATTTATTCATGTTCATAGCTTATAAATAGACATGAATATTTTAATTTACGTCAAGGGTTACCTCCACATGTTGTTGTTAAGAATTTCTACTTGTTATTGGTTGGATTTGTAATTCTGTGCTTAATATTTTAGGTCATCAAATAATTAACAAAATAAGGAAATGCCATATCTTTTCTTGTTTTCGGCAAAAGAAAAAATTTTTGGCTTGTTTTTTGTCTAACAACACTAGGAGGATGAGCACATCATTTTAAAACCAAATGGGGGCTACTAGTTGGCCCTATTATCGTAATTACACTCAACCGTAGCTATTATCCTTTTTGATGACTTTACTTCTCTATCCAAGTATATGCCTTATTTTTTACTCTAT